TACTTGAAGCGCGCAGCGTTTCTGCCCGCCCGAAAACATCGCTCCAGGCACCGTGGGAGACGTGCCGGCCGTCTCGTGAGGATTAAAGCCAGCTTCAAGCTCTCTGCTGCTTCGTCATCTGCTGCTGACCATCAGACGTTAAACTGGCCATCCGGATGCTTCGCTGACCCACTCAACTCCAGCTCGCTCCAGGTGCCCGGGCCTGGCCGCGCGTGGCCAGTGGTTTCGGCCGTCTCCAGTGGAACTTAACCAACTCCGGACCTTCTGCTGCATCATCTCATGCCGACCATCTGCTGGATATTCGCCTGTCCGGGTGCTTCGCTGATCCTGCTGGGTCCTGCCTTATCCCCGTAGTCGAGCCTGGCTCGCGCCGCGGGCGCGCGCACAGCTCCGACGTCTCTGGTCCTTGGAGGCGTGGTTCAAACTCCAGAAATCTGAAACAGCTGATCTGTGCTCCGAGCACAGCTTTACCTTCAGCATCTGGTCCTACAAAGATTGCTTTGCTGAATGTGAGGTCGCTGACAAATAAATCATTCATCTTAAACAATGTTTTCTACTCCAATGAACTGGACTTCATATTTGTTACAGAGACCTGACTCGTCCCTGGTGAGTTAAGTGTTTTTTCTGAACTTTTGCCGGTGGATTGTGCCTTTTTTAATGCTCCAAGGATTTCTGGTAGGGGTGGTGGATTATTAACAGTTTTTAAAAAGCTCTGAAACTGCAGATAGCTCCAGGCTGTGACATTTCAGAGTTTTGAACTGCTGTATTTTGAGCTTGGCTGCTCCAACCCAACACTGTGCTGCTTGATCTACAGGCCACCCTCGTACAACAAAAACTTCATAAGTGAATTTTCTGACTTTCTGACTGGAATACTGCTCAATTATTGCGCCGCTCAAGGTGGCTGCATGTTGGAGCAGCTCTGTTACTTTCATTCTGACATTTTGCTTTTGGAAACTTTAATTCCTCTTTTTCTGGATGTAAATCACATTTTTGGATGATTGTTTCCTCTGGTATCAGATGCTGTGCAGCTGGAAGGATTTTTACTGAAACTTTTTTAGTTTTGGACGTTTGTTATGATGTGTAATCATGGCAACAAGGCAGTTTTCTACAACCAACAGCAGCTGATTAACATCTCAAAAGCTCAAATAATATCTCAACTACAGCCCTAAATCTCAAATGAGTTGAAAGGATGTTCTGTGGATGCATTCTCATCTACCTGCCAGCTGTGCTCGAATGCCTGGCCACTGAGATCCTGGAACTAGCAGCAGGAAACACAACTCATGACAGCGGAAGGACAGGATCGTCTCTCGGCACCTACAGTTGGCTGTCCGCAGCAACAAGGAGCTTGGCAGACTGCTGGGAGGAGTGGCCATCGCTCTGGGAGGAGTTCTGCCCGGCATTCAGGCGGTCCTACAGCCCGGGGGAACCGAGGCCAGCCGAGTCTGGGTGGACGGCTCGGACGGCATCTGCAGCCAGTTTCTTAGGATCCAGTGTGGGATGGACCTTTAAAAGAGATCCTTCCTGCCTACAGCCATCAGTATCTATAACATCTCTTAATGAAATGAGGATAACGAGTTACAACAACAAATTAAAGCTGCAAGCAGCGTTGAAGGCCCTCGCAGCGAAGCGCCGCTGCGGCCTTATGGCGACCGCAGGAACTGCAGCGAGTCTTCCCGGTCGCCATCGAGAACACTCACGCTACCGTCACGCGCCCGTTTTCCGGAGTGCGCATTCGCCGAACCTTTGACATGAGCTGCGGCCGCATATAGAACTATTGTAATAATGTAGGGGCGCACTTGAGTCAAATATTAAACAACACCACTGCGTCCATAAGTCCTCACTAGTCAAGCACCAAAAATCTGGTGCAGATCGGACGATATATCACTGAGATATAACAGTTTGATTTATGTAGGGGGCGCACTAGAGTCAAATATTAAACAACAACACCACTGCGTCCATAAGTCTTCACTAGTCAAGCATCAAAAATCTGGTGCAGATCGGACGATATATCACTGAGATATAACAGTTTATTAACCTAGGGGGCGCACTTGAGTCAAATTTTAAACAACACTAACAATGTGTTTAGACATGGTCACACATTATGCCATAAAAATCTGGTGCAGATCGGATGATATATCACGGAGATATAAGGGTTGGAATATTATAGGGGGCGCTCTAGAGTCAAAAGTTAAAAAACATTACTAATGTGTCCATCAGGGCTACATAATAATATACCAAAAATCTGGTGCAGATCAGATGATATATCATTGAGATATAACTGTTGCAAGATTGTAGGGGGCGCTGTAGAGTCAAAATTTAAAAAACATTACTACTGTGTCTACCAGGGCTAAATAATAATACACCATAAATTTGGTGCAGATCGGCTGATATATCACTGAGACAAAACAGTTTGAATAATGTAGGGGGCGCACTTGAGTCAAATATTAACCAACACAACTAAAATGTCCATCAGTTCTCAGTAATGACGCACCAAAAATCTGGTTCAGATCGGATGTTGTATCACTGAGATATAACTGTAAGAAGAATGTAGGTGGCGCTGTTGAGGTTCTTGGCCACTTATCGTGGAACCCTGTTCAGATGTGGATAATGATCAATCATAGTGATTTTGGTTCACCTGGGCTCAAATCTGTGCAATTTAGAGCCAAACGTATTGCAACGGCGTCACTT